TTTTATTGATATCAATTTGTGTTTTTAATCAATGTGTTTATATTATGTTTTAAATGTTTACAAGTCAGTACTAAACCCTGTATTTATTGATTGCTATTAAAATAAATATGTTGTTTATTATCTCAAACATTGTTTGTTTAAATTATAAAAAAATATATTTAAAAACCTCAAATTCACATTTTTGTTTATTAAAAAACATTAACTTAATTCCAATTTTTAACAATCGTTTGTGTCATATCTTTAATAACTTTCATATTCCGTACAATTTTTACAAAATTTAGAATCATTAACCTTTTTGAGATTTGTCATTTCTTTAAAGTTATCGATATGGATTTGATTAGGAAGATCCATTTGAACAAGTGAAGTTGGTAAATTCAAATGTACTTCGTTATAACAATTTAAGTACATATAAGTTACATAATTGAGAGCTCTTAAGTCTGCATTAAAATATTCTTTTTGATTAATCGTCAAACTGGTTAACATGTAAAACTTTTGTGCCAATTTCCCATCAGTTTCAAACGATTTTTTAAGATCTTTAAAAGTGACATAAGATGGGAGTATACAATCAAAATTCGAACAATAATTACAGAAAGAACAATATAAATTGTAACCAACAAATTTTTGGCGTACATCTTCAAAATCGTCAAAAAATTCTGGACGATCCATTGAAAAACTATAAAGAATGGTAATTCCTTTATTTGAAAGCTGCTTTATCTCAGACTCAACATCAAGTAGTTCCTGTCCATAATTTCCATTTATATAAATAAATTTAAGTGACGGAAACAACTCGGGCGTTTCACAATAATTTCCAAATCATCATAAGAAACAAAACATCTTACCGTTTGATTAAATGGTCCATCATCTAAATCCAAAAATACTTGATAACCATCAGTTTTAGCAGGATACTTATTGTAATAACGAGTCTTATTTTTATCTTTCATATGAATACATTTGATTTTATTATAAATATCTTCATCTAAGTTATTGAAGGTGTAACCATCAAGTTGAAGTGTTTCTAAGTCCGGGAAAAATTTCATCATTCTTTTAACAGCAGTTGATGAACAATCGGATGTTCCGAACCATGGATTGATTTTGAGAGTTTGAGTGGCTTTGTGTGTCTTCTTGTTGATCATAACAAATTGAAGAAGATCCGTCTCAGCAATATAGAAGCATACAGTAGACAAACATTGAAGGTTAAGTGACACTTTTGTTAATGACATGGTTTTTTTATTGATTTCAACTTTATATAACGTTTGAATATAAATTACACAATCAAATGTGTATTAAAAAAATACAACTACACTATGTGTTATCGTATTATGTGTTTTATCCAATTTAACTTAAATAACACAATTTATTAAATAATTGTATTGATAATTCATTAATATAAAAATTATAAAGTTATTAATTTCAAAATGTATAAACACACTCAAAATGTTAATTAAATTGTTAACAAGCCTTTTATCACTCAAGCTATAAATTATTGAATCGTAAAGTTCAATAATTATTTAATTAAAAAATCATTATTAAATTAAATTACCATCATTCAATTATTTGTTTGATATATTTTGTTGAGTTTATCTACTACTCTATCCATATCAGGTCTCTCTCTGGGGTCTTGTTTCCACATTTCTTCAATTAAAGCTTTCTGTTCTTTATCTCCCAATTCAATTGCCGGTCGTTCTCCTTTGGAAATCAAATTGGTGATATCCCAACTGTATGGAAATAGCTTTTCATCAAACGGGTCTTTCCATGTCAAACATTCCAAAACAGTAATCGCAAATGAGTACACGTCTGCTGAAAGTGTATACTTCTCGACATTTGTGATTTCAGGTGCCATAAACTTTGGTGTACCAATACCTTTCGTGTACATCATGTTATCACACAGACTGTTGACGTTTCTTGACGCTCCAAAATCAGTCAATTTTCCATTAACTTCGTCGTTAAAATCAAGTGAAGTTACAAGTGTGTTGTCTGACTTGATGTCTCTGTGAAGAGTGTTATTTGCGTGTAAATACTGAATTCCCTTAGCCGTGTCCAACATCAGTTTGATTCGCATTTTCATGACAATTTCGCCAGACTTTTTATGTTTCATCATGTCTTGCAGACTGCCATATTTTGCCAATTCAGTGACCATACATATCCGATTTGGGATGAAACACGCTCCATAGAATCTTATGAGATATGGACTCACAAATTTGGCCAACATCGCAACTTCCTTTCTAAACTCGTCCATCTTCTTATCCATCTGTTTCTCAGCAGCGGTTTTGTCTCTTGTTGTCATCGAAGAGTTGTTAGTCGTGTTATTTTTCGTCGTACTTTTTGTTGTGTTCTTTGCCAAATTACGACTTGAACTTTCAACAGTCGAATTCTTTGTAAACC